CAAATTCAAATGTTTACCTGTCTAAAGACATCATCTCCAAAGTTCCCAGTTTCAAAGCCAGTCTCATCAGTTTCGGCCAAACTGCTGTCATAAACGTCAGACATTTCGGACAGAGACCCGACTTCATAGCGCTTCGAAGCTGTTAGAGGGTCCATTGGAAAACCAAACGAAATCACACCTTGGCAGGAACTCCGGCCTGAATCCAAATTACTTGCAGGAATGATTGAGCGAAGGAGTTCAGGCGATCGTGAAGGGCTGGCGATAGGCTCAGAAGACCGAGGATTAGCGGCACCATCACGGCTTCCACTGCCTGCTCTCCGATAGCGTCCACTTGGGTTATTGGAGTTGAAGACCAGTGATGTCCTTGGCGGAGGCTCGCCTAAGTCTCTAGAACCAACAGACTGCCTGGCCGGCCCAATAGCTGCAGGAGCTACAGAAAGGCCTGTCTCAGAGGTGGCTTTGTGTTGGTTCAATGACGGGTCTCGCAGATGAAGTAGACCTGGAATAAGCAGATAATCGCGGTCAAGCCGAGCGGCTAGTTCAAGCTTGGTAAGAATCTCTGCAATTAGCTCTCCCGTAAAAGGGGCCGCAATCAGGAGAAAACAAGAATGGTATTGCCGATGACGCCGGGGAGGAGCCAAGGGTGTGGGAGAAGCGGTAGAACGATACGTCGACTTCTATTAAAATAGAAAAGCGGAATCAAGAGAATGATTAAACAAACGACAGCGCGAAGCCTATGCACGTATCGTAGTCTTAATTACTTAAATTGATAGTTATGACCGCAAAGTGATTTTTAAAGAGGGCAACTGAGACTTCGGACTAAAGATAAGCGAATATATGAAGACCAAGATGTTGTGGCCTCTGTTATGGTCGCAGTCCCCTTTCGATTTATAGAAGTGGGTTGACCTCGTTGTTGCAACTTGGTCTTGTGGTCAGGGAGACTATGTAGAACGCACCTAGTCCGAAGTCGTCTGTCATAGTATCAAGTCCACCGTCAGATGCTGGGAATCATGACAACTACTATGACAGACGACTTCGGACTCGGTGCATTCTACATAGTCTCCCTGAACACAGGACCAAGTTGCGACAACGAGGTTAACCCACTTCTTAAGATAAGCGATTTTAACCGCATACGTAGAGAGTAAATTTAGACCTATAAAAGACAAGTAATATGGTTGCGAGCCTTTCATCCCACTGAGTGATCCAAAGATTGTAATACCCCAAGAAAAAAAGGACACGAATATCAGCAGATCCAAGAGGCGATTAGCATACTAATCCCGGCAGCTTTCGCAACCAAAGCGGTTATACGCATCAGCTAGTCAAATAGAAGCTATTGGAAACATAGGCGAAAAAATGGAAAGGCATAAAAGATTAAAACATGAAGTAGTGAAGAGAATACATTCTTTAAAGTTGATTAGCCAAGGAATCCATGCGAATAATTAGATGATAGCAGATCAGAAGGGTGTTGATAATTTATATAGAAGGATTTTTAATGACTTATAGTAAACGTGCAAGTGCTATTATGCCAATTATCATTTCAGGCTTTTATTTAATCATACCGTTGATACATTGTTCGCCATTTCGGTCTCCAAAGAAGTCGGGGAGTTGACACTAACACTGGATCCAGGACGGTTGGGAAACTGGTTTGCAGAGGAGTAGGATTGACGAATACAGGACTGAAAGTTTGTCATGTTGAGTGGACCAGAGGCATTAGAGTTAACGTAACGTTGTATCATTGCTTCGATAGTAGTCATGTGGACGAGTCCTGCGTTAGATCAGGTTAGAAATAAACCAGCATAATTACATCAAATAAAGGAGGGTGAGATATAGGAAATAGAGAAAAGCGTAAACCAAACAACGTTGTATTTGGAAAAGAATCCTATGAGTAGCAACAAAATATAAGGCCTCTTCTTGAAAAATAAGGAGCATTCGATAAGACCTGACATCACAAAGAGGGCCTGCATACGGACATAGCCTGCCTTGAAAGTTATTGAACGTATACGAAATATTTTATCGTTTGCCAATGAGCTATATATTCGGAGGCCTAGCATCTCACTGAAGAAGTTTGTTCATTTTCCCCTGCTCCAATCCCCCATTTGTTACACAATGCTGCAGACAAATCCTTAGGGGTTTCTGTAGGGTCCCTACTGATTACCTTGTATGTGGTAGAGTCATCCAAAGCCTGGATCATTTTTCGTACATAGCTCAACCCATCTATAACTACAACTGCTTCTCCTTTGTCTGCCCTCAGTACAATTTGGTCTTAATCATTTAAGTTCTTTACGATTTTTTTCATTCCCTTATTCCCGGTTGTTATTTCTAAATTGCTTAAGGTCAAAGGAGTCACCTGTAATTCGATATCACTCCTAGTCCATTCAAGGCTATGATCGGTAAAATTTATGAGTTCCACCAGTATCTCCTCCCTAATATCCCTACTATTTGGCGAAACAAAGTTCAAACCTTTCAAGAGAACTTGCTCGGAGGTAACGTCCAATGCTGCTTTTGAGAGGTTAACCACTTTCGCATTAAATATCTTATGCTCCCTAACGTCTCCCATAGACGCATTTTGATTAACCTTTGTTCTGATTCTATGTCCAAATCCATAAGTTTCTTATTATGTCTAAATCTAACGAGTTGTTGTGTGGTGCTAAAAATGGCGATACTCACTGACA